CTGTGAGCCTGCCTCTTCCCGTAGCCCCCTCGGCACATGGCTAGTTGCCCTGGGTGCTTCAGGGTGCCCTGACGCCCCGGATGGAGGGCTTGCCCGGTGCAGCATGAGGGTGGCAATTGTCCCATCCCAGTGTGGGGGCACACAGCAGCCTGGCTGGTTCCAGGTCACTTGAAAACACAATTTCTTTGGGAAAACCCACTTTTTTTGGGAAAACCCACAAAAGCCATGCCTCTCACCTGGGTCCTGAGCAGGCTGCTCGCGGGGGGCTGGTGCGACAGCCCACAGGCAGCGCGCACGGGCATGCAGTGGGACGCCTGGAGCAGTGACACGAGGCACGAGCAACCACTATGCTGGGGAATATTAACACATTAACCCACTCTTTTCATATTTTCAGGTTGCGTTTTCACAGTTTTGGGGTTCCTGTCTCAAAGAAAGAAATTTTTTTTTTTTTTTTTTTTTTTTTTAAGGGAAGATCACTTTGACAAAGTCCGATCTTTAAATCAAATGAGCTGTAACCCCAAAGAAACCCCAGTGCTGTAGGAAATAGCTACGATAAGGTGTTTTACAGGGTCCACCCTGCAGACCCTGCACCTTCCAGGCCATGGATGGTGCCTCTTCTTGTGCAATAGGATAAAACTGGATTTGGGCTGGGGGGAGATGAGGCTATCGAGAACTTTGCTTTAGACACATGTGGTAGAAAATGCTGGGTCCTACCAACCCAAAACTTCAAGGTGAAGATGGTAGGGATGGGGAGGAAAGGTCGCTTGGGGATATTCAGTTGTTCGCAAATGCCTTTCAAGTGTCGGTGTGCTAAGGCTGTTCTTGGGCGAGCTTGGGCACACTCACAGTCAGACGGGCACTGCCTGCAGCTTCCCCATCTTCACCTCTGAGTAGCCTGGGGGTCTCTCCTGCGAGCTTTGGAAGCCCCTTCCTCTCCAGCCAGACACGCTGCTTCTGTCTTCACTGCACGAAGAGACACAGAAGGGTCTAAAGCTGGAGACGTGGGAGCTGCTTCTGCACGTGGTGGAAGGACAACAGGTAAATGCGGTCGCACCGGCTCTGCCCGTGACCCGCTGGGTTGCTGCAACCACGACCCGTTTCTCTGCCACCTCTTGCTGCAGATTTTCAGGCAGTTATTTTAAGCTGCAATTACACATTACCATCCCCTTCTTTGGTTTTTGCCTCAGTGGCGGATGCAGTTCGCAATTGCCCCGAAGTCACCGCTTGTTTGTGTGGTCGTGCTGTAATCCGGGCTTAGGAAATGATCTAGCTTAAGAGGACAGGAAAAACAAGGGTTTATTTCGGTCCCTGGGCTGGATCACGGTGCTGGCCTGCTCGCAGCGTGGCTTTGCCTGTGTCAGCCCTGCCTGGTGCCCGAGGCCCTCCCCTTGCTGCTGGTCCCGTCCCCTGTCCCCAAGCCCTTTTTGCTCCCCGGGGTATGCCCGGTCTTGCTGAAGTCTGAGTTTTGGCTGGGGCAGGGTTTGGGGGCGGCAGGTCGGCAGTGGGAACGCAAAGGAGGCTGCTTGGGGAAGGAGGATTTGCTCCCACAGCTGTTCTAATGAAAAGCACTGAAATTTTTAACAAAATGCAGTAGGAAAAGCAATTAACCCCCAGATTGTGTGTCCATGGGAAAACACACTCTTCAAAACCACAAAGAAGGTGGGAAGATGAGCACAAGTTTGCGTGTGCTGAAGGAGGGGAGCCACGGGGACATCACGGGGCCCATCTTGGGGTGCCCGGCATCCCTTTTGGGGCAGAAAATACTCCTGGCCTCTGCTCCCGGGAGCAGCCTCCGGTCCCAACGCTTTTCCCTCGCTCCGCTCCATGGGACCTGGCAGCGGGGCTGGGGCCGTCGCCTCCCGGCTGGCTGCATCCCCCAGCATGTCTCACCACGGCCCCTCCACATGTTGGGACCCAAACTCCACCTGTAAATGTCCCCCCCCAGACACACACACGGTGTAAGTGACCTGTTTGTACATCACGTTTAGTTTAGATACTTGTGTACGTATAGATGACAAAGTATATTTCTATAAAGTCGGCAGTTTAGGTGCATGTGTGCGTTTCCATCTCTGTATTTCGGAGCACTGTGGCGTTTGCGTGCGTAGCTGAGGGCGGGGGGGGGAGCGGGTTGTTAAAAAAGGGCCAAGAAGCCCTGAATATTTTCAAATGCACCGTCTTAATGCCCTTTTCAAATAAATGTTGATGTTGCCACCTTAGGGACTCTGCTGTCTTGGCCTGTTCCCGGCAGCTGGGTGCTGTCTCTCTGCCCTGGGAGAGGAAAAATGGGTGGTTGCTGCTGGGATGGAGAAGGGAAGACATGGGGCGAGGAGGAGGATGGCCTGGGCTGTGGACAAGCTCACCGAGCCACGTGCGCTCCAGCCACGCGCGTGCTGCGCCAGCAGCCCCTCTGCTCCTCGCTGTGTTAAGGACTGACCTAGGGACATCTCTTCGCTAAGGAGTCGGGGGGAAAAGCGCTGGTATGAGCCCTGTTTTCCTTCAACAATATTTCCATCATCTTTTACCAAATAAACGGGGATGCACGGCCCCGTGCATTGCAATCCCAGCCCCAAAAGCCCCTCCTGTTTAGGGCCTGGGTGGTGGTGGGTTCATCCCACTGCAGCGCTTCTGCATGTCCTTCCCGTCCTCGGGTGGAGCGGGAGGTGGTGGGAAGCGCAAAGCCAGCACGTGAGGTCGGCGTTACAATATTAATGCTGGTGTTTTTACCGCCTGGGAAGCACGTAAAAGGGGGAACGGGCATGGTTGTGCTTTGGCAGCGATAAGGTGTTAGTTAGGCAGAGGTGGGCGAGGTTTGCTTCCCCATGAAACTGGTTTTAGACCTGGCCTCCTCCCCAGTGCACCAGCCCAAGGCACCCTCCCCAGCCTGCCCCCCGCTTCACTACAGGAGTTAGCAGCATTACTTGATAAATAACGAAGCTTTCCCTAGCACCCAGGCTCTTCAGCGTTATCATTTAATGGGGAATTAATGAGTTTACCTGGGAGGTGGGTGCTGGGGGAGCCTGGCTGGGTCCCTTCGCTCCTTGGGGCAGCACCCAGAGGATGCCACATTTCCCCAGGCTGCCAGCGAACGCTGTCATCCCGTCTCACGTCAGCGTGGGGCTCCTCTCCGGGACCAAAACACACTCTGCTGGGTGTGCAGGAGCTGGCCCCCGCCCAAATGCAGCCCCCGGTGCCCTCGCCAGGCTGGCTGCGGTGAGCCCAGCCTTGCTGGAGCCTCATGGCCAGCACCCGTGAAGCCCCCGAGCCGGGGGTGCAAAACTGCCCTTTCTCC